ATGAGTTTAAACTGTGTGACTCTTTGTGCCTCACAGCTGCTCTTACTGAAGTTACAAAGAAAAGAGAAGTTTGAGGTTTCTGTTCAAGTCTTCCCTTTTTTAATTTGAGCTGTCTGGACTAGAACTTCGAGCCGTGTAAACAGAGCTTAAGTTCACTAACCGACCTTTAGGAAAAGCTTTATAATCCCATTGCTTTAATCTGTCATTGCTTTAGTTTAATTCTAGCTGATCGATGCTTTGTGTCAGAAAATTCTGATGACTATAAATACTGGCTTCTTTTAATGTCTTTAAGAGGCTTTATTTTTAAAGATCTGACTAACAGGTGAAAACACAAAGACGCTCAGTTTGCAGATGACGTCAGAGAGGTTTATGATGATAACTGAGAAGTTGGAACCAAATTGGCAATAATGAAACAATTGTTTCTGCATTTCCTCCTTTCTTAATAAAGACTTTATGATTACTGGTTATAGTCAGGCAACACTTTTAGGGTTTTTAGACTAGTTGCAAAACCAAATGTAACACAGTGACTGATGCAGAAAGATTTGTATTTTTTAATATTGGCCTTTTCCTACTTTGGAAACATCTTATTTCTTTGTGTTAGTTTTTCATAATAGATGTCACCTTTTTAGAAGAAATTCCATTTCTGAACCAACTATTATATATTGGCATTGCTCATAACTCAAAATGTTTCAAAGAAATTCAACGTATGATGGTATTTCACAAGTAATCCAAATTATGCAAAAAGTCAGTATTTTACAATTTTGATCCTTTTTTTTTTTTAATAACTTGTGCTAATCTCTGAGGCCCAGCTTCAGTGATTCATCTTTATCACAGTTTGTATAGCAGAAAATTAATTGATGATACTAAAAACGTCCTCAAAAACCAACTTCTTCCAAAGGCCCTGAAAGTTTTTTGTATGATAAAGCACCACATTAAGAACCAAATGTGATAATTAAGTTGCACAGAGATCAGCAAATTAACACTTTGGATCCTATCCCCTGATCTTAAGCCAATCAAGTCTCTACTGCCAGGATGTAAATGGCAGGTGGACAACCAGGACCCCACAAATTGTCATCAGCTTCCAGCAATGCTACAGCAGGAATGGATCGCCATCAAGCTTTGGGCCAATAGCTGATATCCAGCATGCCACAAAACTGTAGAAGTTACATTAAGTAAAATAAAAGCATGCACAAAATGAACAAAAAACCTAAATAAAAATGTAGGTGTATGAAACAAAACTACTCAACTTCTTTCTTCCTTAAAAAAATATTAGAACACATGTCACACAAATACTTTAGAAAACTGTCAAAAAGGTTAAACTATACTATATTCTTAAAAAAATCATGTTTTTGTACCCAAATTAGAGCTGGAACACTAAACTGGCACACTACACTGACAAATCAATATAATTTGGCATCCTAATAGCGCAAACCATAACATGCTTTACAGTTTTTAACAGTCGATAACAACAATAACCATATTTTAAAATTTAAAAATATGATTTTAATTTTTTTAAAGTATAAATTAGAAAATAATTGTAATTTTTTTAAAAAAAAAGTATGTTACATTTTTTGTAACATCCTCTCTGTTGATTGCAGACTCAGGTAAGACCAGATAATACCACCAACAGAAAATCCTGATATGTGACTGTTCTGTTTAGGTGTCTAGATCTCACAGATAAATGTAACAGCTGCAACAAAGGCCGTTTAAAATGTCTTTATTTGTCTCACCTGCCTTTGACATGGAAATATAACTGGAAATGTATTCAAAACAGACTCACAGGAGGCTGTACTTACCGGCTGTGTGCAGTTTTCCCCGAGGCTCCTCGCAGTGACAGGACAAACTTGCTCACACTGAAGCGTCACACAAGCATTCTGCTGTTACAACATACCTGCCCCCAGCATTATCTCGTGAATCAAAGGAAGAAGTAAACATCTATGTTTGTGATTCCCACGGCTCAATGACGCATATTTATTTCCTTTTAATATGGGGGGTCTCCCCTCCCCCCCTTGTACTGCTACGTTTTTTATAGTCTGCAAAATGATAGATGCGTCTTTAAAAGGCCATTTAAAAATATAACAGGAAATGGTTTAAATACAAAGCTGATATGTTTCAGACTGAGTGGATCGAGTGTTAGAAAGTGCAGCAAAGGTCCCGTGTATCAAGTCTTGCTGAAGAAGTGTTGTCAGAAACTGTCCGCAAGTCTAAGCTTCCTGTTTGCAGTCTGGGTTTGTGGATCAGGCCATCTGAGCTTAAGCCAATAAATAAACCACTGAAACTAAAAACAAAAACCCTCAAACTTTCAGGTTATTTTGGAAAAATAGAACAAACTGGCATCGATAATGGTGTTGCCTTCAAGTACTCCTGGGGAAGTTTGATGAATGCTGTGAAATCAAAATCCATCCACCCATTTTCTTCCACAGAGAAGAATTGGGGTCACATTCTGAAAAGAAATGAATGTCTCAGGGTTAATTATATATTTTTAAAGAAACCTTTCAGTTTAAATTGCTGGTATAAATGGAAGATGACCATTAGGGGAGGAATTAAAGCATACACGATTATGTGAGGATTGTTAAAGAAAGGGGGCCAGAACCAGGCCGCCGAAAGGGTTAAATCTAGCCCACTAGCTTTGGATAACGTGAAAACAGCGATGACAGGGGGCATAAATGCTTTCTATCAAACGAGACAGTGTAAGAAAGGAGAAAAATTCATAACATAATGTGTTACTAAAGAATAACATACACATTACCAGTATGTTATGTCTAAAAACAACTTGGTCGTATGCGGTATGCATCCTGCCCACGTAAGACTATGTTGTGGCCCACCGTGTAAGATAAGTTTGAAACCCCTGGTTTACACAAAGAAACATCAACAACACTTGCACTATTGAATCTTCACCGTCTCCCCACAATGAATACTTTTTAATGGCTAATGCTACTTGCGGCTTTTCAGATCCTTTAGATGCTGTCATTAAAAATTGTAGCATCTAAAATTCTTCCTAACAAACAGGAAAGTAACTATTCTACACTCATACAAGCATGAAAGCGAGTC